ATGCCATTTTCCAAGGTATTAAATTTTGTATCATCTTTTCATTATGTATATTTGTCCGAATAGTGGGGTTGTGTATTTTATTTATGGAATCCCGCAAGATTTGACTTCATCTGTTATGGCGCTCACTGACTGACTGCGCCGCTGTGTGATGGCACTGGGCTTGTTGATCCCGCTCTCGCTGAATTTCTGACCATTACCGCATGCTCCCATCTGCTCCCGCAAACATTCTAATATTGTATATAATTTCCGCGCATCAGGGCGCTGCTGTCAATATGTGAATGAGCGCTCGCAGTCGCAGTTCACTTTCGATTTCGCGATTGCGCGCGCACTGTGTAAAGGGAGCACATCTTACGATATAAGATATTTTTCAATGAGCTCAGGATCTGTTGAGGAGCAAATCCTCCAACATCTTGTCAGTTATCTCTCAGTCAAATCTGACTTCTGCAGCTCGAGTTGGATGCAGGTTTGTTGTTGTTTTTTTCCACGAAATTGGGCTGCTTTTAAACTGTTGCCATGGGTTGATTTTCCCCAGTGGGTTAAAGGTTTGAAATATTGCATAAATTACATTTGGGTGAAATGCTTGTACTGAAACATTTTGCATTCTACCTGTAATAAAACTGCTGAATGTTTTGGGCCGCATTAGTAGGAAGCATTTGAGCTGTGTTTATGATAAATGTCCATAACAGTGACTGTAAAATTTGTATTTTAGGGATGGAAATGACATTTTTATATTTGGGACATGATAATTGCGCTACTTTGGGCTGTTTTTTTTACTGGCATGGCTTGGGATGCACAATTAAAATGATGTAATAGTTGTGATCATTATTTTACCTTCCATGATCATTCAGACACGATCAGGTGCACTTGTTTATTGTTTTTATTACATGGCCACACTTCCTCATTTCTATGGTTTAACATATTGTATGACCTGTTCAAACCATTGATTCGGTGTATCTAGAGATGATCACAGTGGTTGAAAAGTCGACAAGTCACAGAACTTTTTTTTTTTTTGATAGTTTTATTTGCGCTGCTTTATTTGGTGCATTCAATAAGCTGTGAATTAGTTGTTAGTTGAGTGTTTTTTTTATTGCCATTACAGGCCTCGCATGCTGTTTTTTTTAACCCCTTGTCATGTCTGTTACATTTTTATGCATTACGTTTTAAAAACTTCCTTTGTTGCATTCTGTGAAGCCACCTTTTTACTGTCTCTGACAAACAGTCAGTAACAGATTGGAAGTCCAATGGAGAGTAGTACATGCAAGTTTTCAAAACGAAAACAAAAAGAAAAGTAAAACTAAACTCGCTGACAGGACTTGCATGTTTTTTTACACAAGAATACCAACATGTTCACCTTCTCTGGTTGAAGAAGCGGTCTTTTACTTTAGCTTGTAAACCAAATCCTCGGACGGAGCACACCTTCGCGCTCGCGCTGAAAGCGCCTCTCTTCACGTGATCAGTGAAATCTGACGCGTGTGTGTGTGAAATACAGTGCTGAATGAAAAAGCGGGGCAATTTGATAATAATAGACAAATTATAATGGGCCGCCTAATAATAATAAT